ATACCCAGGATGGTTAATATGATAGTATTTTTAAAGGTATCCAACAATGTGTCTCCAGGAAAAAATAAAAACTTAGGATGGATAGTATGACAAAACATTCACTCCAATTTTGTTTTGTGTTTTTTTTTCCCTGGAGACACATTGTTGGATAACTTAAAAAATTGTATGATAATAACCATCCTGGGGATACTGTTGCTGGTGGCCACCAGTCACGATTGGGATTGATATTATATTGATATATATATGGTGTTGTCCATGGTTATTGCATTTGTACAGAGCTATGTGTAGGGTACTTTTTAGGATCTTAGATGTTTGTCTGATGTATATTTATGGTGTCCCTGCAAATTTTGGGAATAAAACAATTTTCATTGAACATAAATTGATATTCATTATCATTCTATGTTGGGATCTCTCTGAAAGAGGAAATAGACTTTTATATATATATTATACGTAAAGATTTTTATGTGGCTTAGGGTTTCATTAAGATATAATTTTTATATGTGAAATATTTAACCCTTTGAGTATTGTTTTACAGCAATTTCTTATGTTGATTCTTTATTTAGAACAACAATATACATACAAAGTAATTCATTACATTGAAATGAGACTGTATCTGAAAATCTGAAATCAGTTTTAAAAAGAAAATCAGGTTGCCGGCTATTTTTGGAATCTATGGTGCTTATTTTAAAAGCCACAACTCGCTTCCCAGAATTTACTTTCAGTCTTTCATGTGAGACTCATGGGCTGATTAAAGATGTGGTTTCACAGCTTGAGAGCAACAGGTCTGAGCTCCATGATGGGCAGATGTGCGTCTTAGTGTTTGGAGTGTTAATTTATTGAATGCTTGTGACAGAGCAGTCTTTTACATTGAAAAGTCTGATCTCACATGATGCTCCCTGTCCACAGGCTACTATGCACACCTTCGGCATTAAGGCGAGAAGTCATTTGCAATTGATTTTTCTTGATGTTGCCTGCTTTTAATGAAATATGTAGTATCTGTAGGGACAAAAAGAAAGAGAATTGTCTTTCTCCAGGTTTTGCATGCATGGCTAACCTTTCTGCAGAAGACGTCCCTGAGTTCCTCATCTTATTAGGGTAGCTGTCACTGGTTCCCTTCTTCTATATAGCATCATAAATCATGGTTTGAGTATGGACCAATCAAATCTCTCAGTTGTGACGTGCTAAGCCTCCTTCTTCTTTCACTAACAGAGTCATCCCACGAGCAATGATTCAACTCACTTTAAAGTAGGAACTCTTTCTAGCAAATTATAATTCTTTTTATAATGTTTCACCAGGTAATTCTTCTTGAGACTTTGATAGTCCCATTTCTATCTGTTTTTCATCAAAACATAAATGAAAGTCAAAGAACTTTATTCAATAACATAATAGCAAAGGTGTGATGTATCCCTTAGCAACTAATTTGATTTTAGCAGCTTAGTATAGGCACACTAATTAAAGTTGATCTATGATTGGTTGCTGTAAGTTACTACATAACATTGCTACTGGTGCATGTTATTAAATGAAGCCCACAGTGTTTCTTTTATCATAATCTTTCTAGCTGTCAGAATTCATGGTTTCCAAGGACACACACAAAATGAGCAGATGCCTATATACATGCTACTATATATATTGAAAACTGCAGTGAACATATGTTTTACCATACAGCCAATAAAATTTTGTATTAACAAAGATAACAAGCTCTGAGATTCTGTAATATATAAACTGTCCTTGGGATTTAGGGCAAATTGGCACTGACAGTATGTTAAAGGAAAAGTAATATGGCCCTCACTGATTTGGTGTTGACTTTGGTTTCTTTAGTCTGATGCTTTTCTAAACATGGCTATCCTTTTAATCTGCATTTGGAGTCAGCATGAGCTTTTCTGGTATCTGTAGCAAAGATCTGTATCTGTATCCTTCAGTCAATAGGTAATCCCTCAGAAGTGGGGATCTGTCTCTATGAAGATCCTGGTTTAACCCTTTTGTCATTTACACATCTTAGGAAGACTATAGCGTTATAAAAGATAAATATTTAATCATGTGACTCACACACAAATAAACACATTGGCTTGTAAAAGAAACATAAAGAAGAAGGCCTTATATATATATATATATAT